GAATTTTCTCCAATCTTTAACGCCAAAATACGCTCATTATACTCGAAACATCTAGCATTTTCTGCAAAAAAATTTTACCATAGCCCTATTTAATTTTCCAAAATGATTCATTCTTCTTAAATTTTCTGATTTGTCCCCCAAATCGTAATCTAGACCCATTGACGCGGTCTAATTTGATGTGGGACACCTTGTATGTACATATGTACATATGGTTACAGTACAAGAAAGCAATCCATTATAAATATATTTTAATGTTCATTGAAATAGTAAGATTTTCCATAGAATATTTATTTTAATTTAAGATTTTATAGCAATTGTAAGCTTATTTTTATTTGGCAAAAAATGTATCAATCTTTATAAAATGCTGTTGCTAATTTATCCTTTAGATTATGGTCTTTAAGGAGGCTTTAATCTTAATTAATTCTATTTTTTTGTGAACCCCCCCCCCTTCATCATTAGTGTATCAAATAAGCTACAAACCTACCTTTATCTAGAGATATCCCAGTTCACTATGTACCGTACTGCGCTGTACAGTCCAACTTACATTTGTACGTACAGTACAGAGGGCTAAGACTTTAGATGTTAGCGGGTCGGAAGTTCGGAGACGACTGCGTGTACTTGCTACCCGGCTTTAAGTTCCGGAGAGAGAGACACCGGGCACAGTTAGAAATTCAGTAAAATAGAATAGAATAGATAGATAGATAGTTAGCACTAGTTTCTCCGGTAAAAACAGGGATAGATACTCCTTCAAATTATGTATGACAAAATAATATTTGAAATCGACATTCAATGAAAATTTTGTATTAAAAATATTTTTTAAATGTTGAATTTATTTTCTCATATAAATCATTTTAGATCCTATTTACTTCTCTTAATGNATAGTTTTTCATTAATAGGAGTTAAGATAAAAACATGTAAGATTTTAATTGCGCCCATCTTCTATTTCAACTTTGACAACATGTTGCTCAATTATTCTTCAGCATTTTCTCTAGATAAAACAATACAAGTTTTGAGGATTTACATTTTTTTCGTGAATTGTCAAAATTTTAAGAAAATCAAAGATTTTCGTAGACCATTTTTATTCTGTGCATCCATAAACCTTTCCTGGAGTCATGTAAGGGTGTTGGGTCATTTCATAGAAAGACATTTCATAGAGAGGACATTTCATAGACAGGAATTAATAGAAGACTTTTATAAAAGACAGGACACTTCATAGACAGGACATAACATAAAAGGACATTTAAAAAACAGGACATTTCATAGACAGGACATTTCATAGACAGGACATTTCATAGACAGGACATTTCATAGACAGGACATTTAATAGACAGGACATTTTATAGACAGGACATTTAATAGACAGGACATTTCATAGACAGGACATTTCATAGACAGGACATTTCATAGATAGGACACTTCATAGACAGGACATTTCATAGACAGGACATTTCATAGACAGGACATTTCAAAGACAGGACATTTCATAAACAGGACATTTCATAGAAAGCACATTTCACAGATATGTAATTTCATAGAAAGGACATTTTATAAATGACATTTCTTACACTGGACATTTCATAGAAAGGTCATTTTATATAAAAAATTCTTCTTTCATATCAATCTTTTCTCAAAAAATCATATTCTGTTAAGTTTCCTGTTTCGTTCTTTCTTCTTTCCTCCTTTTTTCATTCTTCCTTCTTTCCAACCCCATTCTCCCTTCCCCCCCCTCCATTCTTTCTTCTTTTTTGTTTTTCCCTCTTTCATTCATCCTTCTTAATTTCTTCGTGGTTATCTCTTTTATTCTTCCTTGTTTTCTCCTTCTTTTATTTCGCTTTTTCCTTTTACATTCCACTTTCCTTCCTCCTTCTTCATTCATATATCGTTCTGTCTCCTTTATTTCTCTTTCGTTTTTCCTTCTTTCCTTTTATCTTCTTCCGGATTGGATCATTCTCGCCCTAAGAGAGCTGTGTATTTGGCAAGGCAGGGTGTGGTACTTTGTATAATGCGTATTTTCAATGCGTGAAATGAAAACAAGAACGATCAATCTTTTATCAAGATATCCATGTAGAGTTTTATGTAATAATTTGAAAAGCTGGAAAAAATTCAAATGTCCATTTCTTTGAATTATTACTTTGTTGAGGGTGATTTGAAGTTACGCTTTAGTCCCTCTAAAGTTTAAAGTGGAAATTGAAGTTGATTAATGATTATCAAGCTACTCACCCGGAATAGGGTTTCCAGCGTACGAAACGTTTCGCGAAAAAATGCGAACATTTTCGCGAAAATAAATGAAGCGAAAACGAAGTGAAATGAAAAATGCGGGGTAAAAATGAAAAATGAGAGGAGAAAATAGGAGTGGGGGAATGTTTTAGATGCATAAATTTCCTACATACGTTCAATCGTGATTATTTTTTCGCGAAATTTTCATTTTTTTGTTACGAAATTTTCGAATTTGTTTGCGAAATTTTCGTATTTTCTGTTCGCGAAAATTTTCGTATTTTCTGTTCGCGAAAATTTTGCATTTTTTTCGCGAAACAGATTGAAGCGAAATTTCGCGAATTTTTTTTTTTTGCATTTTTCGCGAGCGAACGAAATGCGAAAATAAAGCGAAATGGTCGAGAACAAAAAAATTCGCGAAACTATTTTTTCTTTTCGCCGGAAACCCTCAACCAGAGTAATTTGCATTCGGTTTCCTCGCTCTATTCGGTTTCCTCGCTCTATTCGGTTTCCTAGCTCTATTCGGTTTCCTAGCTCTATTTCAAATCAAACGAGTTTTGTTCTATAATTCAACAACCTTTAAAATTAAGGAGTTGTCTGATTCGTACTTTTTCATTAAAACGCAAATGCCAACAAAAAAGGATTTGAAAGAAAGGCGCAATATTTATGCTTAATAGGTAAAATTGTGATCGTCCGAGTTTTCTGTTATAAGAACAGTACTCGTAAATCCACGTGAACCGAGCTGAAAACTTTAGAACGGTGGATATTGATATTAATGCTTGATCCTCTCTTTTTCTTAATATCGAGACTAATCTAATCTTGTACTTGTATCCTGGAAAGTGTATAAAATTCAACCAATCAGAGATCTAGTCGCGTATACGAAGCCGATAAATTTGAAATTTTGCGCGCTATTTAAGATTATATACAGAAATGGGAGGAACCCTCTAATTAATAAAAACCGGTTTTTGATTTTTCTCTACTATATCCAAGAAAGAACGGTTTAAGAAGAAAATCAAAAGTGAGTCCAATGGATACTCGGATTAAGTAATCGGGATTAAGGATATCTCATTCTCATTCTCATTAAGCTCTGGTAAAACTAATTTTTTTTACATCATTAACTCACTAGAACTGTAAATCAAAGTTGATTTAAAAGCTACTGGTAAAACTATTTGCTTTATAACAGCATCAAATACACATTAGATTCCGTAAATATATAGTCTTTATATTTTACAGTTTTTCTATTGTAAGTCACTTGAATTTGAAGAAGAATAAAGGGAAGGGAAATGGCGCTGGACTGGCATGAGCTAGCCAGTCGCACTGCTTTGCAGACGAGTTCGTTATTACACATGCACACTCTTTTGGTACAGACACACAACATGACTACAGTCAAGGAAATTGCAGAACAATGTTGTCAATCTTAATTAAGCTTGATTAACGAGTAGTTTATTGTAATCTTTAATCAAATTATATTCTTTGCATGAAAATTTGGCTTATGGTGTTGACTTAAATATAACGGTATATAATCATGTGCTTTGCTGATTTTACATATTTATTTCCATTGATCATCTATATTATATATCAAGTTGTAATCTTTGTTTGTTTGTTTGTACTCCCGATCAATGATCATAACTCAGGAACCCCTCGACCGATTTGCCTCAAATTTTCATCAGGGAACTCGGGAGAACCCCGAGTCGGTAGGCATTTATTGGGAAAAATAACGAAAATCGTAATTTTGACCAAGTGCGGGTAAACGGTGTGAGTAACTATGATTACCCAGGGCAACACTGGGTTCTTAGTAATTTTTTATATTTGTCTTGGAACCATATTTAAAGAATATCAAACTTATAGTTCTACATAGACTTAGTTGAACTACACAGACTTAGTTGAACTACAGAGACTTAGTTGAAACATGTCACTAATACTTGAACCGGATTAGCAGACAAGAGGTTGAACTAAGTCTAGATAGTTCAAGTAGTTAATTTCAGTTCCTGCTAAATAGGTGTATAGATGTATAGATGTATAGATGTATAGATGTTTAGCTAGATGAATAGATGAATGAGGATAATGAGGAAGAGGAGAAAGGAAGGATAAGCTTTCTCTTAGCCTGACCCATAGGCGTCTAGGTTAAAAGATGGGGGGTGATTCTGTAGATTCTAATTTTAAACTAACTATAGCTTTATTATTTTAATGAACATCTAGCTTATCAAAATACCAAAAATCAAAATCAAAATCCCAGAAAAAAATACCAATAGTTTAATTCAATTTTACTCAACTTCGCAGGTCAATAAAGTTACTTTATCATCTTTTTGAACAGTGATACATGTGTGTTATTAGAGCAAATATACAGGCGGAATATAATTAACTCGGTAGAAGAAGAAAGAGAGTGAAAATGGCGCAAAAAAGAATAAATAAAGAACTTAAAGGAAACACACATTATAATATTACCTTTTAAGATTGAAACAGTTTTTTTTCATATGCAGGGAAACGGGGAAATCATGGTAAAAAGTGAAAAAAAAAACTATCTACTCGCTCTATTCG